GGGCTGGGGATTTGGGGAAGGGGCGGAGTTGAGGTGGGGCCGGGGGTGGGGTAATTAAAGAACTGGGGTGGGATGGGGAGGGGGGACAGCCAAAATTGTTTTTGCTTTGGGCGGCAAAAATCCTAGAGCTGGCCCTGATCTTCTGAGTCAGAAACAATGTGTCCATAATTTTGTGTTCGTGCACCAGTGTGGCATTCAGTTAGGGTGACTTATGTACCATGGGGCAGAACGGCGCGTAGCTGGAGAGAGAACTAGCAAATGGGTATACGATGAAGTAGAACATCCCCCTCCTTTATTTTGTGCTCCCAACCCTCCTCTAATATATTGGGGTCATATTCAAGCTTAAGTGGGTACGGCTCCAATTGCTTTCAGTGGAAGCTCCACCTGCTCACGTCGGAGCTGAATGAGGGCTGCACAGAATGCCAAACGGGCCTGATTCTGATCTGACAGTGGTTTTATCCTGGTGTAACTCCATTGATGCCAGTGGAGACACTCCTGATCTGCACTGGTATAGATGAGATCAGAATTGGGTCCAACGAGCCAAATCCATGCTGGTGTAAAGTAGTGTAGCTCCACTGATTTCACAGTCATTATTCCAGTTTACACCAGCTGGAGATCTTGCCCCAGGGGGGTAAGTTACACTGGCTTTGCATGCTCACTGGCCTCCCTCCCATCCCTCCACCCCCATTCAAAGTGAGCTTCCGCTGCCTTTGGGTTAGGGTGTTAGCCTATGGCGTGGGAGACAGACCTTCATTCCTTGCACTGCCACAGGCGTCTTGTGGGACCTTGAGCAAGTCCCTCAGGCCCCAATCCTGGAAGGTATTTGGGCCCCTAACTCCCATTGCAATCAACAGAAATACCTTTCAGGATCTGGGCCTTTGTCTCCCTGTGCCTCAGTTCTCCAGCTGTGACAGCACTGCTCTACCTCGCAGGGGGTTGAGGATAAACACACTAAAAAAAGATTGCGTGAGATGCAAATCAGACCCACCCCCGCCCGTTTACACTCAAACACCATTTCACTTCTGCTCAGTAGGACCCACTGGGTTCCCACAAGCCACTAAGGCTTGTGTCACTTTCTCTGGCTTTTGTACCATCACCGTGAAGGCTCTTTCTCTCGATTCACCTTGTTTTCCTGGGCGATGCATTAGGAGTCACCGCGTGGGTCCCGCTACCCTTCGGAGCAGAGTGAAAGTGACGGATGTGCCCTGTGCAGAGTTGAGCTCTTTGCATCTGAGGCTGGTTTTGCCTAGCTGGTGCACTTGCTTCCAGATGGGGATGGAGCAGCTGCAGGATGGCCCTGGAAGGATCCAGTTCCGTGTCCATTAGCTGCTCGATAGACGCCAGCATCCCTAAGATATTTCCACCTCAGATGAGAGAGAATTTAAACCCAAGTGGGAATCAAAAGGGTTAGGAATTGGCTCTTTTCCAAACTTCATGGGAGAAACACAGAGCCAGATCCCCTGCTGGTGGAAATCTCATTTTGACTTCAGTAATTTGCACCAGCTGTGACCGGGACCTCCCTTTTTTTCTGCTCTCATTTATGTTGGCGTCTCTTCCCGGATTTCCATAGCGTTACCCCTGACTTGCACTGAGGGGAGAATCAGGCCTGGCATTTGAATCGCTCAGCTGAACAGTACCTCAGCCTGGAATTGCAAACCTGTCATCTGACCCCACTCCGCAGGACCAGGAGAGCCACAGACGGGACAGAAGTGCAGGGGAGAGCAGGGTGTCGATGGCATCAGAGCCGAGTCCGTTCTGCTTGCAGCTCGTAGTCCCTGTCCCTGGGGAGCTTTGTAGAGGGCTTCTGCTGGGACAGCTGGCCATGTGCAGGCAGAATCAAAGCCACCCCTCTCCCTCTCTCTCCTTCTCACAGTGCATAGGAACACAGGAATGGCCTCACCTCATCAGACTAGAGTCCACCTCCCCCAGGGCCCAGCACCAGCTGCTTTAGAGAAAGGTCCAAGGAATCACCTCGTGCTCAGTCATGGAATAATGTGCCCATTGGGGGCGGGTCCTTCCAAACTCCCTCTATTGCTCCCCCTCCAGGTCTTTTTGCTCCCAGTGGGCCCCAGGATTCCAAGCAGGGGATTATCAAAGGAGCACAAGCATTATACCCGGTGTAGCCTTCCCAGTCTGTGTCTGTAGAGCCACCAGGCCAGGCTATCAGCTGGTGCAAATCAGTGTCGCTCCATTGGAGTCAATGGGGCCAGATCCCCAGCTGGTTTAAATCAGTCGTAGTTCCACTGGAGTCAGTTCGTCCCCAAGCAATCCCCAGCTGATGTCAATGAGGTCAGATCCCCAACTGGTGTAAAATCACGTAGTTCCAGCCACTTCAATGAAACAATGCTGATTTATGCCAGCTAGAGATCTCGCCCATCATCTCCTGAGTTAACACTTTCGAGCCAGCAACCAATCCACTCAGTCCCCCCCCCTTTTCTTGTGGTGTGTCAGCCGTGGCGGTAGAAAGATGAAGAACAGCTCTGTCACCTATATACATATATACATAGTAATCTATAGTTTCTATTTCTATTGTATATTTACTCTGTAAATGTTGGTGTAAATTCTGTTAAATGCCGAACATATTCCAAAGTGACCCGTGGGCTATTTTCATTCTCAGTGCTGTACAGATCTATTTTCATTGTATATTTGAGATATTTATAATTTCTTATTCTAGTGTGTGATTGGCAGCTGCCCTGCCACACTGCCCACAGTGGGGAACCACAAGGGGGAGCTGCCTTCATTTCTTTTCCGTGGAAGTACAGTATTGCTTGTGGCGTTTGCTAGATATTAGGTTCGGGGTGGGGTTTAAGTGTTAGGTGCTGTATGCAGTCACCGTGTGTGTGTGTGTTATGGTTCATAGATGCTACGTGTGTGTTATGTTAAGACTTTTCTGTAATCCAGCCACTCTTCAGTTTCTATTAACAACCAACTTTAGCCTGTTTATAGCAGCAAACGTGGCCTAGGGTACGTTCCCAGATCTTGCTCTCTCCCTGGCAGGGGAAGGGTTAAAGCTGATCAGCTGCAGGGTTTTATGGCCAATGATCAATTTCTATCACGCTCTCTCAGACATGAGGATGAGCCAATATTATGACTGCATGCTACTTTTTTTTTTCTGATTGCAAAAATTTGATAGGTTGAAACCCTGTGGCATGGGATGGGGTCAGTGAGGATTGGGGAGCAATAAGGGGTGTTCTCAGAAAGTGTCCCCACCTATCCTTGAGGGGACACTTAGCTGGCACCTGTCTGCTGAGGGGAGGCTGGTTTACTCGAGCACAGGATACAACTTCGACAAGCACAATAGCCTCTAAGAAAGAATTGACTTTCTAAGGCCTGGCCGACTTGCACAGCCTGCCTGGGAGCTACCAGCACTGTTTGTAACTCCACTCTCACCAGCTGCCCTACCCTGCCCAGCTCAGCCCCACAGTATCTCCCGTGCTCCTCAGCAGACAGTCCTCCCCCTTTGCCCTCCACGAAGAGATTGCCCCTTGCTCTGCTGAGCAGCCCTTTATATATGGGCTGCTCCAGCAAGCCTTCTCCTGATTGGCTCTCCCAATAAACCCTTTCCTAATTGGCTGGGTTCTGCGCAGCCTCTCCAAGGCTGCCTTAACCCTTCTCCTGCCTGTGTGGGGCAGCCACCCCACCACACCTCCATCTTTTTAATGAGGATGAAATACCCCCCCCCCAACACTTCCAACCTTGGGAGAGTGGGGAGGTCAAAATCCCAATCCTGGTTTAGTACATGGTCCAGTTCTTTACAAAACTCTAGATCTGAACTTTGGAGATGTTCAGAATCCAGATCCAGGATTTTGGGAGCTTGCGTCTGACTCTGCTACGTGTCCCCCGAACAGACAGCTGATTTTGCCTTTTGCTGCTAAACCACTGGCAGGACCGAGTGGCAGCCCAGCCCCTCTGCAAAGTGATATTTCTATCCAGGTGGCAGTAAGTGGGGTGGGTAATGGTTTCCGACAATACATTCCCATGCACAGTGCTTTTAGTAACATACTGTAGATCATCATTGTCTTTGTCAATACCTGTTAGTGGCTGAATAGGTGGTGTAATTCCTCTGGGAACGATACAAACTGGATGCCATTTCTGCCATCGCGAGAACAGGGTGAGCGAGTCTCCACATCTCCCCCTACTGGCCTTGTGCAGTATTACTGGGTGATGCCATCCCCCTGCGCCGTTACCTATAGAGGACCTGGTGACTCAGCATTGCACTCAGCTGATCCCACAGTCCCTACCTTGCTCGTGTTTTGCTCAGGTCGTTTAGACGGGAGCCAGATCTCACTATCTTGTGGAGTTTATTATTGTAGATGTTCTCTCTGCATCCCCTGCCTTTCATCCTGCCTAGAGGGGAATCTTCCTCGCCAGGGATGTCCTTGCACGAAGGAGGCAGCCATAAGGGGCACCTCATAGGCTGATAGATTGCGAGGCCAGAAAGGCCCCTGGTGATCATCTAGTCTGAAGTCCTGTATTGCACAGGCTGTAGGACTTCCCCAAAATAAATCCTAGGGCAGATCGGACAGAAAAACATCCCTCCTCCATTTAAAAACGGTCAGTGATGGAGACTCCACCACAACCTTTGGTAGAGGGGGGACCTTTGGGGCTGCCTACTTCACCCCCAGACCAGTTCTGAACTGCTCCTCAGCTCCTGGTTCTGTTCACTCCTAGTCAATGAGAGCCTGTGGGAGTGAAGTGAGCTGGGGTGCCATTACAGACCCAGCACCCACCAGGCCAGCTACCTGATGCAAGTTCTGTTTACACTGCAGGTGGGTAGGCATAGCGGTAATC